GGAGGCGTTTTGTTTGGCTCACACAGGTTTTAAAAGTTTGAGCATTTCACATTTTTTTTTAAAATCCAGATTTCCAGCATCTCATGAAAGGCTGGAGTCTGGGACAACACCAGGCCCACATTCCCAGCCTGTGACCTGCCAGCCATCAATCTGCAGGAGCCGAGTGTGGGCGCCCCACTTAGGTGGGCTCTGATTCATTCATGCAACTCAAGATTCACACGGGCACCCACCCTATGCCAGGCACCACTCCAGCTGCTGGGAATTCCACAGGCACAGTCCCTGAAGGCTCAGCTCTGGAGAGATGGAGCATAGACACATAATATGAACTATTACCATCCTATGAAGGAAATCAAAGAAAGGGGTTAGCTCGAGAGGGACTGCAGGTGCCCAGGGAACCTCTCTGAGATAACATCCAAGTTGGTTCTTGAATCATGAGACAGAGCCAGCCACTCAAACATGTGAGGTGAGAATAGTGCAGGCCAAAGGAAGAGTTTGTGCAAAGGCCCGGGGATAGGAATGAGCACAGAATGTTCCAGAGGTAGTGAGGGAAGGGAAGAGAGGCAGGATCGCAGCTGGAGACTAGATGTATTCTAATTACAATGCGCAGTGAGGAGGGGTTTACACAGAGGGGTGATGAGCTCTGATTTAATTCAAAAACATCCCTCTGGACAAGAGGGATAAACTGATGATTGTGAGGGCCAGGCAGCTTAAAACCCTAATGTACCATCTACCTAGGACCAGGAGCGAGTGATTTCATAGGATTCTGTTAGATGAGGAAAATGTATCAGCACAGGGTAGCCTGTTTGTAGGGGAGTACTTCAGAAAGCCCATGGAAAGATTCATCTTTTCATTCTATTTTTCCATGAACTTTCTGACATACCCTCATATTTATACACACGTGGTTCTGCCCTTTAGCACTAATGTGAAAGGTGAGAATAGAGCTGAGCCTTCCACGTGAGCCCGAGAGCCAGGGCACACACTGGGCACCCTCCGGGCTCCTTAGATTTCCCTTTGAGCCTCTCCACACTGCAGAGCATGGGGCGAGAGGAGCTCCGGGATTTGGGATGTGGCTCATGACTGCAGGGAAGAGCTTGGTCCTCATCCTCACAGGCACACGAGGGGCAATGGACAGAGGCTTCCCTTCACTTGCTTGTGAAGGTCGGGGGAGGGAGAAGGCAGGCACAGAGTCTTCCCTTCACAGACCTTTCTTGCGTCAACGAGGTTATGGATGGCGTTAGAACAGCTCGCCGACTGAGGATTCCTCCAGCTCTCCATGGAAACCTGTCTTTCAGCCATAGTGTCTGCTAACACTTTCTTTGGCTGTTTACTTTTCCCTTTTAAATCCAATTCCCATCCAACTTTCTAAGAATGTAAGGCAGTGACCCAAACGCCAATGGTTCAGCCCACAGATCTACCTTTGGCCGACTGAAGTCTGCTCACAAGAACAGCTGAAATAGGTATTCCTTACTGCTGCTGCCCAAAACGCAGGGGGCTGAGTTAGATCTAGTAAGCCTGAGAAATGGGGTGCCCCTCCCTAATATTAAGAAATGGAGGGGGGCAGACCTGTAAAAAATAAATAGAGCCCACATACCTTGCACAATCCCTGTAAGAATTCTAGAAAGGTCTTCTTGAATAATAAAAAGGTTAAGAATTTTTTAAAAAAAGAAAAAAGTGAAACTCCTTTTTGCAGAAAGGGGTTAGCTCACCATGGGTCCCCTAGCCAGTTAAGGAATTCAGATAATACAGGAAGCCCCTGCAGGATGTTAGGAAGAGTAGCAACAGGTTTGCTTTCTACAGGGATTCTTTTGGAAGAAAGGCAAGCCTGGGAGTAGGGAGACTCCTACAATGGCCCAGGCAATGGTCCCTTTACCTAAGGCAGTAGCAGGGGAAAGAAGGGAGGGGGTGGCGATATTTAACAGAAGCACACAGCTTCCATCTGAACACATGCAGATGTCATCTGAAAGGGAGGATGGAGTTTCAGGAACTCACAAACCACTTGCTGGGGATCACAGACTGGGGAGTGGGACCCACCCTCGCAAGTGCCTCTCTGCTGCTTTTGGCAAGTTGGCAAGTAAGCCTGCTGAGACAGGAGCCCTGGCCCCAGATCTAAACGTGGAAGCCAAACACCCACATCAGCCTGCCTTTGTGGTCTGCCAGGACTGCCCTTCAACTGACCCTCCACCATTCCCAACAGAAGGGCCTTCCAGAACACTGGATAGGGGGCCCCTGGAGGCACATGTTCCTGGTGAACTGCTTTTTTGTTGTCTCTTGATTCTCACCTGAGAGCTGGCTTGTGCAGTTAGGTCACTCATGTTCACTTTTTTTCAGGTCTAAGGTATTACTTAAGGAATGAATTTCTTTTTTAAATTACTGTTTAATTTTACATGTGATCCATCAATGAAACTATAGCAATGTAATACATGAAGGAGCTCAGTTTAGATTTTGACCAAGTGCAATTCCTTGGGCTGTTTCACAGCTGGATTCACTCTCTCTGGTCATAGGCAGAGAGAGATCAAACTTTTTCACCACCACAGATCAGAATGTGATGGTTAATTTCACATGTCAACTTGACTAGGCCAGTTGTTTGGTCAAACATCAGTCTAGACATTGCTGTGAAAGGATTTTTAGGATGTAACTAGGGCCGGCCCGGTGGCTCACTGGATAGTGCGCCGCTTGGGAAGCGTGGTGGCGCTCCCGCCCGAGGGTTCGGATCCCACATGTGGACCGGTGCCC